AGGTACATGCTAGTAATACATTTAGTAATATGGATTAAATCTCAAAAAAAAAAGTCTTCAAGACAAAACATTATTAGAAGTATATAACCAGCAGCTGAATTATCTGAAGATCAAGAACACTGATAGAAGCTTCTTAGTAGCTGCCTGGGTAGGTACAAGGGTGGAGCTGCAGAGGTCAAGTGATGGGGTGAACACAATCAAGGAGAGAACTCTGTTCACCAGAAAGCTGTTCACAGATGGCAAAGGCTTGTCACACAACGGGACACAAAACCGCCAGACAGATGACAGAGTGACACATGCAAAGCAGTGAGTGACCAGCAAATTGTCCATGGTTTGAACACAATGCTGAAATATCCAGTCTCTGCAGTCACCAGAGAAACAGAAACTAGAACAAGACAGCCCCCTCGACCTGAGAAGATCGACTAGGCGATGCTAGTTAAGAGCCATATTACACAAGCTGTGGAGGGTCGGGGCATCCAAGCACCCAAGAGCTGCCGGTGGATGAGAATACTTCAAGATACTCACTAGAACTGAAGATGCACAGCTTTGTGACGCAGTGGTGTCACGGCAAGGGCTGTATGTGCCTGTGTGTGTGCCCCTGGCACGTTAAAGAATGTTCACCACAGAATTCTAAGTAACAGTCCTCAGTGAGAACACAGCATCCGGCACAAACCTCAACTGTGCTTTACATCCAACAGGAACTACAATGTACACACTGCTAGACTATTCTCACAATACTCAAAAGCAGTGGGATCATAGTCTAATTCCGCTCACCTAAACTCTAAGCTTTACAGGTTTATTATGAAATAACGACTGCTGAGATGTTTACTGTACACCACGTGCCATTCTGCACCATGTTTCTATGCTTTAACCCAATTCTCACAACCACCTCTATAAGGTATCACAGAGTACTCCCAATATGCAAATACAGGCACAAAGAGCTTACATAATTTAACAAGCCCACAATAACTAAGTACAGTGAGAGCTGGGAAATACGCAGCTGGCCTAGTGTGTGAGGGTATGTGTTTAAACATTCACCATGCTGTGGTTCGAGGACAGAATGTAATAGCAAAATGGAGGGAAGACAAATGTACAGGAGGTGGGAGGAAAGCTAGGATCCACATTTTAAAGAGAAAATCAGTAGATAATGTCTAAAATTGGTGGTGGGAGTGGGAGGAGGGGTGCAGTGTGTGTGTGTGCCTGTGAGGAACTGAAGGAGAGATCAGAAAATAGCTGCACACCATGGCAACAGCGGTTGCCTCTAAGAAATGGGTCTAAGTAGACAAGGCTGTAAGATGAACTTAAAAGCCCTAGGACACCATTCTTTTCTGTAAAACTACTGCTCTTCTCCACTCCACCCCACCCAGTCCTAGAGGAGCTTGTTATGTAGTCCAGGCTGGCCTGCAACTTCCCATCCTCCTGCCTTCACTTTCCTAGAGACCAAGCACACCAGGGATACAACTTACAGGATGCCTGCCTAGAACGCTGAGTCCTTCTGTTCAATCATAAAGCATTAAAAAAAACAAAAACAAAAAAAACAAGATATAGTAACAGCTGTGTGATTTATTGACTCCAATGTCTCTACAGCTCTTTGCTTCACACTTAACCTGCATTATTTTGAATCCTCCCAACAATAAGGGGGTGGTTCCACTAACCCTTACTTTGTTGAAGAAACAGATTATAGATTTGACTGCCATTGGCTAACTAACTGGCTAGCAAGTGGCAGAGCCACAATCCAGAAGTGTCTGTGTTTCATTCTGAAGTCCTCCATGTCAGGTGACACTGTGGAGGTTTGGATGAGAACTGTGGTGATTGGCTGGGAGGAGAAGGTGTGACTTTGGTATCTGAGGACATGCTAGTCCTGCTCCCTCCCCAGGAAAAGAGGAACAGGGGTCCAAGCCTTCCAGTGGTTGCTTACAAGTACAGTCACAAGCACGCAGAGCTCCCAGGTATCTGTGGATCACCTATGGGCACAGGCTACCTGGTGAGTACAATCTCTTCAAGGTTGGCTCTTAGGAGAGAATTTGGTGTTAACAGTGTGGGACCCACCCACCTGCCCACAGTGACGGCAACCTCTCTATTCCAGCACACCCAAGGGACACAATGAGCTTCCAAGGATTATTTAAGCTCATCACAGTGGTGACTCTAATGGGGTCCTCATCCTCCTGTGTTCCTTGAGGGATGGAATTATAGCATGTGGTTGATGTCTTATCAGCTACTGCCAACACTTAACAATACTTCCTATGCTAAACAAGTGAATCTTCAGTGACTCTTCATCAAACCCACAAAGCAGGTACGAGCCAGACAAATCCAACAGCAGCCTGCCCACTGGAGTGGAAATTCTCCCAGCCAGTGTTCACTGTGGACACTCACTGAGGTCCCACGTCAAGTCCACAAACAAGAAGGTTCTCTTGAGGCCAAGGCTCTTCCCTATTCCATAACTCATTTGGGCCATCAGGGAAGAAGACACTGAGGAGCAGGGGAGAGACATCCACTTCTTTAGGGAGCTAAGTCTAAACCATAGCTTTGGACCAGTGGCCAAGGAAAAGGCTAGGAGAAGCTCAAGTTGGGTCACATGACCCAGGTGAATGGATGTTTTGGGAACAAAGAGGACACGATTTGAAGAAGCCCAAGGCTTACTTCAGCAGTAGGAGAGGCCAAGCAGTCCCAGTGAAAGAGATAGCCTCGGGTGGAGGGAAGGAACCAGAGAAGACAAGGGACCTCATTCCATTACATCTGGTTTGCACCTATCATGGTGACTCACTCCCCATATTTAAGGCTCCTTGCCTGATCTTTGTCTCAACAGCCTCGCTGGCCACTCTTCCTGGTCTTACTCTCTGTCCTGGCTCAATTCAGACCCTTTTCCACCTGGCTGGCCCTTCAAACTCCCAGGGCTGTGCAGATTACTTCTTGCCACCTCTCACCCCTACCAACTGACATACTCCTCTGCAAACACAGTTTCTTAACTTCCTACAAAGTATAATCCACTCATCTTTCAGTATTTAAATGTCTCACCGTTATTAAGTGCTTCCCATTTTCCATGGGACCCGCAGGAATCAGGCAACCTTAGGCAGGTCAGGGCCTGCTTTGTGCTGACATCACAGAGATATGCTAAAGAATCATTTTCTACACAATAGTTACAGAACTTGCTTCTCTCTTAACCCACAGGGAAGCTATTTGATATGAACAGAGTATGTCCAAATCAGGATTCAGTAAATGTATTCTGAAAAGTACCAGGTTAGACATATGATGGCTCATCCCAGCACTCAGGAGACTGAGTCATCCTAGGCTACATATTAAGTTTTAGTCCTACCTAAGCCTAAATATTTTTGCCTGCTGCAAAAATAAATAAAAGTGCCATAGTGCCAGATAGCAAATCCTGGCTTTCTGTGCCACAGGACCCCTGCCTTTGGTCAGGACAGCCTGGAAACAGTAGACAGGTGTGACTGCTTCAGCAATGCTTTATTTACAAACAAAGCAGGCAGGACACAAGGCTACAGTTTGCTGAAGTCAGATATAAATCACCAGCATCCAGAACACCTGCTATACCCGAACACCTTATGGCTGAGACCCAACATTTTGGAAAAATACCCACTGGGTTTGTTGTGGTGTTCCCACCATGACTAGTACCCAGAGGTGGATTTAGTGACATGAGGGGTGGGGTGGAATTGTGTTGACAGTGGGCTGCACAAAGTGACAGATGACAAAGTGGCAGGTTCTCTTCCAGCTTAAGTAGCAAGATGGTAGGAGGAGGGGATGCTGCTGGAATTCATCAGGATACATGGGCAGCAGAGCTGCAGGATAGGGGAGAAAGTGAAGAAAAGCTGGGGATCCAGAACTCCAGAGAGGTGCTAGTCAAGGGAGAGGAAGTCAGAGGCAGAAAGGTAGCTAGGATAAAGAAGGAGGGGGCTTTATAGTCTTTATTGTAAAATATCAGCAAAGATAATAGCCTGCGACACAGGGGAAGCCTGACTGGGCCAAGGCGTGGCGTGGACTTCTCTCTACTCATCCAAAAGGAACTGAGGTGGTATTTACTATTTGTGGTCCTTGGGTTTCCAGCTGTGACTCGGTGTGAATGAAGTATGTCACTCACTGACTCATCCACACTTGTCACTTTGTAATGCAGGTACCAAGAGGACCCGACGTGGGAGGTGACAACTCCAAACATGTGGACACACCCAGTTCTTCTGGAAGTATGCTATTGCAACTATAGACAGAGTGGTGGATTTCATCTGCATGCTCTCCAATGTGTAAGAAACCCAGAGATTTAACAAATTCTCAGTGAAGCTGTTCCCTAGGAGGTAGAGAATGGTCTTCACAGGACCACCAAGACACAGCATAGCCTGATGATGAGCCACACACAATTTTTCTTTAAAGACAGGAAACCATTTGACTGGCAGGATTTTCAGAATAAATAGTACATAATCATTATTTAATTGTAATTAAATTAAGCTTTTAATTTAATAGTAGAGTCTACACAGCTCTCAAGTTCTCACACAGAAAAATTAGAATTAATCCCATTATCACCCCTATGACATTTAAATAGAAAAGATTTTTGTTCATTCTCTGAGGCTGGGGAGATGGCTCAGCAGTAAAAAGCAGTGCTCTCCAGAGGACCTGAGTTTGGTTCCCAGGACCCACAGCAGGCAGTTCACAACCACCTCCGAGGGCATCTGATTCCTCTGGCCTTCAAGGTGGGCACTACACTGACATTCACACACCGAATGAAAAATAATCAGACCTTCAAAATCTCTTTAGACAGTCAACTTTACTGACCAAAAATACTAGAGACCGAAAAAGCAAAAAACAAAAATACCTAGCATTTTGAAGTTACTTTATGATTTCATTACTGTCACCAGTATTACAATGCTCAAGAGGGTTTGGAACTCAAAATTTCACTGAACTCAAGATGACATGGGTTACACTAGCAACACATTTTTTTCCTTGAAATGACTTTTCATGCATTCTACGAAGTATATTAAGTAAACTTGTTCTCTTACCCTATGGTAGGATTGATATTCGGATCAAAACTGTCTTCCACGAATCGCCATACGATGCTTGATTTACCCACACCAGTATCCTGAAAGAGAGTAAGATGTGTGACTGAGGAAAAGCTTGCTATCTGCAGACGCCCAAACCCACTTTGTGGCATAAAGTGGGGAATTTTAGAAAAAGTACCCACATCTGTCGATTTTCTAAGTTGAGGGACACAAAGAAGGCTTTTGCAATGCGTCAGTGAAGTAATTTTACTTCAAACTGTATTACTGGGGCCAGGCCCAGTAGTGGATGCTTGATTCCAGCACTTGGGATGCAGAGGCAGGCAGATCTCTGTGGTACAAAGATTTCTTAGCCTACAAAGCGAATTCTGTGCCAGTCATGGCTACACAGTGGGAAACTTTAAAAAAAATATTTAAAAAGTACTATGGAAGGGTTTTGTAGTTTTTAAGATTAAGAGACACTAGAACCTCTTGAAAGACCCAGGCTGGCCTGCCTAGTGGTACAGGCCTACAATCCCAGCAAATCTGGGAGGTTGAAGCGGGGGAGTTCCAGGTTCAAGGCTTGCTGAGGCTATGCAGAGACTTCAAGGATAGCCTCGGCAGCTCCTTAAGATCCTGCTGTAAAACAGAAACAAGCTAGGGATACACAAAGCTGGGTGGGACAGGCTGGCCTAGCATGTACAAAGTTTTAGGTTCAGTAACTAGGATGCTCCTCCTCCATCCACGAAGAAAAAGACCCCATGCTTCTGCTTCTTGAGTAAAGTGCCGACTCGAAGGCCTTTTCACATATACCAGGAAACTCTGTGCTTCCAAGCTGGGCCTGAGTAATCCCGGATGAACCCTAGCCCCACCCTAGTAGAGGGGTAAAAAACGTCTAGTTATTGGAATTCTTTTCAGTCGGTCATTAAAACAGAAACTCAGGAAGGAGACCATCAGAAGGCTTTGGAATGGCCAAACTACCAACAGAGGACCGGAAGCTGAAGCTTCAAAGACCTGGAAGCTTCCTGGTATGGACTCCTCCTTTCTCCACTAGGAGAGTAAACTTTTGAAAGTAACTCTTGCAGAAATGTCAGAGACGTTCCAAAAGTTCAAAAGTATCCCACACTGCAGAAAGCAGGCCAAGGGCGCTTATAAAAACCTAAAGACCTGCTAGGGGGTTAACTTTGAGAGACGTGGCCAACTTCAAAGGAGTCCCTCGCAAAGTTGGAAGGAAACTACCCGCGGGCCGCTTCACTGTGGGATGGAAAGAGGACACCTCTCTGGGGCGCCGGGGACCACCCCGACTTGGGTGGGGCACAGCCTGGGGGTCCGGACGGCCCAGGGGTCTGCGGAGGGGCGGCGTCCCGCACAGGGCGGGAAGGGGTGCAAGGGGCCCAGGGATGCCGGGACCCGCCCACTTGGCCTCCGCCGCCCTCGGGGCCCGGCCCGCCGCCACTCACCCCCAGCAGGCACACTTTGAGTTCCCTCAGCGCCATGGTCCAGGGACCAGGGGTGCGGGCCTGCCGCCGCCCTAAGTTGAGGGAGAGGCCCTGCCCAACACCAGCATCCCCCGGCGCCGCTGCCGGTGGCACCACCCAGCCCCGGCTCTGCACGCGGGGCGGCCGTGCCTCCGCCGCCGCCCTTCGGTCCGGCCGACCCGTCGCTTGCCCCGCGAAGGCACCTCAACAGCCCGGACGCTCCCTCGGCCTCCCGGGCTCTACAGCCGCCGCCATCTTGGGACGCCGGCAGGGTCACCTGACCTCCCCGCCCACTTCGGCAGCCACCTTCGCCGCGAGGGCGGGGCGGCCGGCTCGCGGTTCCCAGGCGGATGGGCGGAGCATCAGGGGCGGAGCCTCAGCCTCGCCCCGCCCTCCAGCTCGGCCCGGGCGCCTCTGAGGAGGGGGCGGAACGGGGTGGGGCGTAATCATGGCATCGCCACGCCCCTATCTCCACCTCCCACCCATCCCCAAGATGGCGGGTAAGCGGGACCAGGCGGGTGGGCGGAGCGCGGCGGAGGGGCGTGACCTTCGGTCTCGCTCCGCCTCCAGCCCCGCCCTCCAGCCCTTCCCAAGATGGCGGGTGAGTGGGTCCAGGCTCCGGGGTCTCCGAGCGGCTCCCCTCCCCCTCCCCGGGAGCCTCCCCGTCCCACCTCCGCGAGCCCGGGACTCGCCGCCCGCACCGCCTCGCGTAACTCCTTGTGTGCCTTTTGATTTTTCAGAGATCCCCCTGTACTTTGTGGACTTGCAGGATGACTTAGACGACTGTAAGTAACAGTTGGGGCGCCCCGCCCCTCTTTGGGTCTCTCTTGGAGGATTGTAGGGTGCACTTAGACGGGGCGGGAACCTCAGGTCGAGCCTTCCTTCCCCTATGAGCCCATTTCCTCAGGTGACACTGCTTCCAAGGCCAGGACTTGGGTCTGTTGGAAACTTTGACTTCCTGTCAGTTTCTCCCTTAGCTGCTCTGGGAGCTGAGAGAAGTCGTCAGGGCGTGTGAGCCTCCTGTACTTGTGGCCCCAGCTCCATCTCTTCTTGGGGCACACTGCTTCTCTCGTTTTGAGTGGGTCTCTCCCACTTGACCCTTCTAGCCTGCTCTTTTTTTCTGGGATTATTCTTAAGGGACAGTAGCTGAGAGAGATACTACTTTGACATGCGAGTTCGAATGTGTGATTAATGAATGAATGAACCTTTGGCTGGCTTTTCTAGGCAACGCATTTTTTTCCCCAGTGCCTACCTCTTCCTGGCCAGGTCATTTGATGGGTTTCTGAGCGGTAACAAAGATGAACTAGAAACAGCCACTATTCCCCGGATCTCCCTCACAGGCCCGAGGGAGGCTTGCTGGTGTATGAGGCCAGCACAAGTCCCCAAAGTAGCCATAGTCAGATGGGCCTTCCTGGTCATTGGTCCTTTTCCCTCCCTTCCGGCACATCCCTAGTGATAAGAGTTGCTGTTGACTGAGAATTTTGGGTAGACCTTGCAGTGTTGAGCACATTTTATCTCTTTACCCAGAAGGAGTCAACTTTATTAATGTCACTTGACACTTGAAGAGAAAATAGAAGTCAATGGTGAGGAGGCCTAGCTCTTGAGTCCGTGAGCCGCCAGGTGACATCCAGTGGCACTGTAGCTGTGCTGTGATCCGGGGCAGGTCACCCTGCCACTTAGAGCCTAATTGGTCATTTCATCTGCAGATGAGAATAACAACTGCCCACCTCATAAGTCTTTTATGGATTCGAGGCCAACTTGCTCTACGTGGTGGGTTCTAGGCTGGCCAGGGCTGCATAGTGAGGGATTAACCCCCCATAGAAGGTGACATGAGTTCTTGTGCACCATTAACACTCAGTAAATAGTGGCTGTTCCCCTGGGAAGTAAGTGGGATTATCCTGGCTTACAAATAAGACTGGGAGTCAGAGCGTTTAAGATCTAGTGTGGCATAAAATGGTAAAGAAGACACATTTTGTTCCTCCTAACTCCTGGTCTTTTTGTCTCACTGTGTGGATTGACCTGACAGATACTCTTCACCCAGGAGTTGGGGCATGGTTGTCAGTTTGGGTGCTCCTTTATCTGTTGTCTCCTTGGGTGATTTGGGCGGTTTATCTAAATCGGTGGTTCTCAATCTTCCTAATGTCGTGACCCTTTAATATAGTTCCTCATGCTGTGGTGACCCCAACCATAAAGTTAATTTGGTTGCTACTTCATTTCTAACTGTAATTTTGCTACTGTTAGGAATCGGAATGTAAATATCTGGCGTGCAGGGGATCTGATATGTGACCCCAAATTGATCCACAGGTTGAGAACCACTGACTCTAGGTTTAGGTCAGGTTCCTGTGGGCAGGGACTCTGGCCATCCTTTTCATAACCTCATGTCCTGTATGGTGTAGGTGCAAATTCATATCGATACTGACAACAGTAATGTCTGATTTGCTTGGTGATCCTTGATTAGGTTTGGCTGATCTCAGAACGAAGGTGTGATGAGTGGGTGCCTTGCTTTAAGCCTTCCAGATTCTCCAGGCCAGAGCGGCCCAGAAAAGATGGGATTTTCTGGGGCTGGCTTGTTGAAGCCATCTGAATTCTCTTGAGTGCATGAGGGAGGGAGGTAGTCTTCCATTCTGGTTTTCAGCTGGGGTTGCAGGTGGGCGGTAGGGCCGTTAGGGTTGGCCTAGGGAATTCTAAAGGAGTCGGGGTTCGCTTACAGTGCGCAGAGGCTGAAGAGGTGTCACTGTTGATGAGAGCTGTTCATCCAGGGATGGATGATTGAGGAATGCCAGGGCTCTATGGCACTTGGAAATAGACTTAAGAGACTAATCTTGAGCACACAGTATGTGGTCATATTTGGATCCTTGCTTGAACAGAACCAGTATGAAAATAAAAGACATTGAAGTGAGATTGAATATTAGATAACATTAAGAATTATTATTTATTATTTTGGTGGTGATAATGGTATCATGTTTTTCTTCAAAGGAAGAGCCCTAACAGAAATAAGCATTCATGAGTGAAATGACTTGGTGTGTGAAATGAGCTTTCAAACGCTCTAACAAATAGCAAACAAAACGTTGGGAGGAGGGATCCACTGGAAAAATTGCAGAATGCTGGTACTTGTAGAAGCTAGTGGCTGGGGACTATCCTTTCATTTTTTTGCATATTTGAAAATTTCCATAGTAAAAGGTTTTAAAAAATGAGATGAAAGTGTCACAAATGATCAGACCTTTGCAGGAGGAGTTGGAAGGCTGGATTTCAATTCTGAATATGCTGTAAGTTATTTTAGGATGCATTTAGCTTCCAAAGACCCTGGTGAAAAATACATCAGTGTTCAGGAGACCACATTTCTTTTCAGATGTTTAGTTTTCAAGAGGTATCAGTGAAGGAACCTGGGAGAGGGCATGCTTCTATTTATGAGAAAAGCAAGGTGCCAATAAATGATATCTGGATCTTTGGTGAAAATAGGATTAGCTCAGCTGGTGGAATATAGAACACTGGAGGGGGTGGTGCCTGTTCAACCTTGAATGAAAGACTTCCAGAGGAAAACACGTCGCATTTCACCTACACACTTTGTTCTGTCTGTGACAGTCTCTTTCCAAGAACTGCAGCTACTCTATACCCGCATTGCACCAGTTGCAGACAGTGTGCTACTTGAACCATAAATGCAGCCATTGAGTTTTTTCTTTGTACAGTGTGACTGTGAATCAAATATTGGCAACTATTGTTTACCAAAATCTCCCTGTCAAGTGAAATAATTTGAACAGAATCAAGAGCTAGTTGAGGATTCTAATACTTGTAGAGCAAACCTCAGACAGTAGACCATTCTTAGAAGTTGACCAATATATATTTATTTCCATGAGGGCTCAGATGGTAATAATTTTGAGCTTTTCAGGCCAGAAGGTATGTGACGCACCTGTAAGCTCTGAAGTTGCATACTGGACCAACTGTGAACTACAAACACACCCTCACACACACCTTGGAATCAACCATAAACCACACAGACACATACACACATATAGACACACACACCAGCCGTATCCCCACACCCTGTAAATAACACAGATGCAAACACATACATATACACATCCTGAAAGCAATCATACTCCTTCCCCAACATATTCCCGAGAAGTAACTGTAAATCAGAAACATACATAATACACATACGCCCCAAACTATATAATGTAAACCATATGAACACAGATGCACACAAACACATACATAAACCTCACAGCTATATACATATACACATACCATAAACTACACACACCACCAACCATACAAAATATATCCATAAAGTTCACACAAATACATAGTCATACATACACACCATAAATCATATAAACATGCCCGTAAACTACACACATCACCAACCACACACAGACCATAAGCCGCAAATGTGCAGATGTGCATGTATTTGGGCCTGGATGTGTGCTATTGTGATGGAGGAAGGTCAGTGGCTAATAAAGGAACTGCCTTGGCCCATTTTATTGGTTAGAGGATAGGTGGGAGGAGTAAACAGAACAAAACGCTGGGAGGAACAGGAAGTGAGGTCAGAGACTCGACAGCTCTCTCGGGAGCAGACGCCTCAGAGAGAGATGCCATGCCCCGCTCCTGGGATGAAGCTCCGACCCAGGATGGACTAGGCTAGAATCTCCCCGGTAAGCGCACCTTGGGGTGCTACACACAGATGATTAGAAATGGGCTAAATTAATATGTGAGAATTAGCCTAGAAGAGAATGGGCCAAGCAGTGTTTAAATGAATATAGTTTGTGTGTTGTTATTTCGGGCATAAGCTAGCCGGGCAGGCGGCTGGGGTGTTGGGGAGAGCAGCCCCGCCGCTGCCCTTATTACTTCACTATTGAAGCTTTATTGACGCAAGAGAGAGCTGAACTTGGCTCAGGGCAAGTGGTTTGCTGATCACCCCCATGAAATGAAACTGTCACATTGGAGCAGTGAATTCTGTCATCTGTGGAGGAGCTGGGCCAACCTGTCGAGGTGTCTTTCCTGCTGGGTTTGTGAGCAGAATATTTTTTGAGGACCACTGCTTGGTTGAATAACCTTGAACAAGTTACTCATACTTGATGTTTGGTTTCCTGTGGCTGCTGGGGATGAAGACATCCACTCTTTCCTCTTGGTGGATGCGCAGGGCAGGAAGTCCAGAGTGGCTCCCCTCCCAGCCTGGTGCCTTGTCATTCCTGGGTTCTTATGAGGCAAACAGGTAGATGTCAGCACGTCCTGGAGAGTTGTCAGTGTTTGGGTCCGTGCACCTTTCATTAGAAAATACAAGTAAAGTCGTATCATAAAGAAACTTTAGTAAAGT